CCGGGGCTCCGCCGCAACCGGCCCCGGTCCCCCCCCGTCCGTCCCTCCCGCTTCCCCGGCAGCCAGCCCGCGGAGCATCGGTGCCGGAGCCGGGCGGTGGCGGCTGGTTTTCCTTTCGCATCCCTCCTTCCCCGCCGCCCCGGAGAGAAAATGCCCCCTTTTCCCCGGCGCAGATTGGCACAAGGTGCCTGCTGCACCCTGACATCTCCCTGAACTCATTGTGATTTAAATAACAGCCCTTTCTCATCTAAACAAAGCATCTTAATAGCAGATGCAAAGAATTCGGCTCATCTGAAAATCCAATAGCATTTAAGTGGATTAACTGCAATAACACAACTGAGGAGTGATACTATCCTTCATGGAAGACAATAGACTGTAAATGCACAGCCAGGGAGACTTATCCTTTCATCTCTGAATTTCCTTCAGCATTTCAAAAGCGAATGCTTTCTAGAAGCCCTGGAGGGGTTTGCACGCTACTGGCTTGGACATGCTTCTAGGAAACAACCTGTGCTTTAATGGGCACTTTGCAATTGCATAGAAGTTCCCACCAAAACAGAAGTGGCCTTTCAAGTACGTTTAATTCTCTCTCATGATGTCATGTAGGCTTACAGGGTGGTCTCCAGGACCACAAGGGGGGAAAAAGAAAGGTGGGGGTTGAAAAGAAAGAAAAGGAAAAGAGATGTAAAAGATTTGGAAGCACTTTAAAAAGGAGAATGCTTTTTTTTTTTTTTCAAGACAGAAAATGCTGAGCCAGTGTGGAGCCATTCTCAAATGCCTCCTGATATAAAAAAAAAATGATCCGAGTGCCACACTGCAGCAGACCCATCCACGCAAGCCGCGCTGGCAAGCAGCAGGGCAAGCGGGAGGCAGACCAGGGCAAGTCATTCTGGTAGTTGCCATCGCTTTCTTACACGGGCTTTGACGTTGCAGAAGTAAAAGTGATGGCTTTAGTTAAAAAAAAAAAAAAGTCTCATCTGCACTTATCATTTGCTGGGCTGAGAGAAACGATTCTTACGGTCTGTGTTGTCATAGTAATAAAAAAAAATAATTACCAAACAGTGAAATAGATTCTGACAGTACCGGCTCGCCGAGCATTTACTCCTCTCCTTCCTTCCTTCATTGGCTAACGTGTGTCTGGGATCAGAAGTGCTGGGTATTCGTAGCTCTTTCAAGTGGTATTCCACTACGAAAGCCAACATAGAGATAACTCCTACTTTATCTATTGGTAAAAAAAAGTCTATGCAGTTTTGATTTTTTCTTACATTTCCTTCATTTTATGAGAAACGTGCTGCATCAGCATCTTTTTTAAATCTGTCATTGTGGAGCTCAGATAAGCATCTTTCCTCTGGGTTGAGTTACACTTGGAGTAGCTTTTAACATTAGACTGTTTATATGGATCATTGCAAATATTTGATAATAATGTAAAATATGTAAGATCCCAGAAGAGACCAGAGAACGTAAATAAAATTCACACAGATCCTGCAGATAACTTTATACTTGGGTTGTCTGTTTGCTTACGAAACACATTTTCTCCTTGTCTGTTGTTTGATCTAAAAATGCATTTGTGCCATGTAAGTCCTTACAAGTATGCAAAGATACGTCTGTGTGAAAAACGTCACACGAGTGCATCTGTACGTCGTTATGGCACCTTCCTGCAGTCTACAAGTCTATTAAATATGTGTGCACCAAACATGAAATAGCATCTTTTATGAAATACCTACAAGGCACACATGTGGAAAGAGTGACAGGATGGTATTTATAGGTTTAAAAGAAAATCAGTACAAAGAAGAGCGCACCAGAAAATGAGGTTTTGCACTTTTTTATTTATCCGAGAGCAGAGAGCAAGATACTGCCTGTCTATTTTAAAGCACATACTGTTAGAAGTCCCTCAAATGTCAGGAATTATAACAGAGTTATACTACAACAGAGTGTCAAGAGGGAGGATTCCTAGGGTTTGCACAGCACTTGGCACAGGGGAAGGGATGCAGAAGCTCCTTGACACAAAATCAAACTACTTCAGTGGCACCAGCGCTTTCTGCAGGCGGTGACGCGTGAAGCCAGGGTGCCCCAAATCGGGCTTCCAGCACCAGCTACAAAGCTCGTTTAAATCTCTGCTGGCTCAGTCGTTAGAAACGCAGGTCAAGCCGTGTAGCGGGACCAACTCACGTTTCAGAGAAGCGTGCCGGGGCTGCGACGCGCGAGAGCAGCCCGGCCGCGGGAAACGTCGCTGGGAGAAGCGTGGTCCGGGGATGGGCGGCCAGGCAGGGGCTGTGCTGCTGGGGAGGGGGCTGCGGCCACGGAGGGCACCGGGCTGGCTTCAAAATGGTGCCTGCAACCCCTGGCAACTATTTCAGAGGTCAGGCTGAAATGTTGACACTTGCTTGGCCCTTCTGACAAGCCCGAAAGTTGCAAAAGGAATCATTTCATCGCAATCGCATTCCTGCTGAGGGAGTCTTGGGAAACCTGTCCGAGTCTTTTTCAGACTCGATTTTAGCAGGGATTTTGCTTCATTGGTAATCATGTTGAAATGAACAACACAGAACAAGTTTGGGTAAGGGGTGTTTTTGGAAGGGTGGCCTGCTTTTATCGTAGTGGCTATTTGGGGCTGGCCAAAGTGGTTCGGTGTGCTCTGCGGGAAACGTCCTGCCACCGCAGCTGAAAAAGGACCAAGAGCTGAGAGTGTCCTGGCTCCAGAAAGGGACCGTAAGAAATACTCTCGGCGGTTTGGACCCACACCGTTCAGCGTCAGTGTCACATGGTATAATACGAAGGATAAAAGTTGAGAACATAAAATCCAGAAAGCTAGACAGGAAGCTCACCCACTTCGGGTGGTTTCTCACTGGTTTTGAACATTTCTTTGGCCTGTAGCTTCAGAGGGGCACGTGGCCACGGTGGGGGAAGGTCATCTTCCCCCTCTGCAGCTCGATTGCTGCCCGCCTACAGAAACAGGCACAAAGCTGTCGCAGGTGCAGGTGAAGTACAGGCAATGGATTACAAATGCAGAAAGCGCTGGTGGCAGGCGAACCGTTCCCTTTCCTGAAACTTGGCCCATAAAGAGCAACAAGGAAAGCTGCAAGGAGAACAAGCAAGGCAGTTATTATTCCAGCTGGTACACCTACAAACATTTCCTTCTTTTCCAGCTCTTCCTTCTGGATCCTTGCGCTGGCTCCGTCCTTCTGGCTAAGCTTTGTTTTCTTTGAACCTTTTGTTGCTGCAGCTTTCCAGATGCTTTGACGGTTGATAACTTTGTTGAATAGTCATAAGATGTAAATCTGCTACAAGGTTTCAGCTAAGCCCAGTGATCAGAGGGGGCTCGGCAAAGTTTTATGGTGTCCCTGTCCCTGAACAGAGGGTAGCCATGGCCCGCACCACCCACGCAGGCCGGCCCTAAAAGCCACGATATTTCTGGAGATGCTTTGCCCTCCTACGAATGGGGCAGGGTCCGACCAGAGCTGATCCTCCCCCCGAAACTGCCCCTTTGACTTCAGTGGGGGTTAGACCCAACTCTCCCTGGAGAAATGGCTTGGTTCAATAGCAAAGACAGACAGACAGTTAGCATCGCTCTCGTTAACATGCTCTTCTCCCCGCCGTGCCCGGCTCCTCCTCACCCAGGAGGTTCAGCAGCACGGCCGAACGCGAGGGGCCGTTTGACCTTCCCCGCCGCAGGAGCCACTGCCGAGTGACACACAGTTCACCTTCAGGGCTGGAGCACGAACTGGCAGCCCCACCAGCCTGGGTAGCAAGATACCATGTTTAGGCATTAAACTAGGGCACTTGCATACCAGCACAGGCCGCTATTTTAGTGGGTATATGAAGCTGCTCCCTGCTCTCCACCCCTATGGGACAACGGAGCTGCTGCGAGCGCGGGATATCCTCTGCCTGGTGGATAAAGCTATTAAAAATGGGCTGTGTTTTGTC